AAGTTGCTTCATTGAAAGGCATCAAGCAGATGCAGTGATTACAAAAATAGAGATGCTAGCTCCATTACAAGATGTTATGATAGGATCTGGGAGCTAGCCAATAACCAAAAAATATACCTTAAAGAGGCTAGTCTAGAGTGAGGGAGCTCAAAAAATCTAAAAAGACAGTAAAACTATTTACATAGGACTGTTTGGCCCAACAAAAAAGACTAAGCAAACATCTGGCCTTCAGCAAGTGAGTTGGAGGTGAGACTCCATCAAAACATCTGAGGTTTCTTTCAGTCCATACCCTTGTTGAACCTTGAAACTTGAAAGATATCCTTACCATGAGAGATAGGATTTTTGAGTAGTAATTATAAATCTGATCTATCCACAATATCTGTGGACTTCCTGGGATGACTATGGTGATTGGTTCAGCTACAATTTTATTCTTAAACATTTTGATGATCAACTTTTCCTTCCTAAAGTGTACTTGACAACCAACTGTGTGTAAAACAAGAAATTATATATTTTCCAAAGGAGTTCCTTTACATTGTAACTCGAAGTGCTTACAATATGGTTTGTTTTGCAGCGCCTATCAACGTCAGTTACAATGGTCACAAAGGGTGTTCTCAAAGACCACCTAGTTCTATTGGCTAATAGCATGACTTGCGCAGGAAATCTGATTGGTTTTAATGCTGGTGGAATAAAAGCATTGTCTCGAGCATTAAACGTGCAGATACCATTTACGGAAGCAACGTTATTTGTAAGCCGCATTAGTTTTCTTCTGTTCTCTACAACATTTTACATTGACTACTTTCCCTGTGAGCTATCTTTTTAATGAGAGTCCTATTTTATTATCTTTCTTAGACCCCAAGAAAATGCTTTGAGAGGGCTGCTGAAAAGTGCCATGTTGATTCTTTGTCAAGCATTGTGGCTTCTTGCTCCTGGGGAAAACATGTGGCAGTTGGTACAGGATCTCCATTTGAAGTTCTCTGGAACACAAAAAATGTACGTCTTTTGCTGTAACATCTTTTAATATTTATTTGGTATAAGAATGCGTTATATTGGCTTTTGATTTGATTGTGTCATGCGATTGGTTGATATATGCTATCAGATACAACCATTTCTCTATATTGTTATGTCTCGTTCTTTCAATAATTGGCCGACCGGAGTTATATTAAATTACAGATCATTGCATGCTCTGACGAATCTTTAGCTGTGTGACATCACTTTTCTCTAATTATTGCTCTATTATGTTTGCATCTTATATTTTGGAACACCTGTTTTCCAGTTCTACAGTAATAATTTTTCCTAGTTTGAATACAATATAACCTCTATTACTCCAGATACAGAAGTCAAAAATTGAACCCACCACTGCCCCCTCCAACAGCAAGTAACTCAACTAACACGTTCAGTTCTTCTCTTGATAGTCATGCCGATCAACTAGCACAATTGTAATGGAGAGAGTATCTGGCTAGAGGTTGAAAGTTCAATGTTTTGGTGAACATGTATTCTCTTTTAGGATGATGAAATTTATGCTTTGATGTTTACAGTCGTCCACTATGATCTTTTTGAGATAAGTTCACAGTGCGAGAACCAAGAATGTAACCAAGGATGCAAGAAGTGTGTGGTTATTCTTTCCTCTAATGATTGACTTGTCTAAATTGGTTCATGCCACTGTAAAAACTAAAACTCCAGGAAGAATAATTACCTATGTACTATGTATCCCAAGTGTAACCTGTGCACCTTTATCCTAGTTTATCCAATACATGTATGGTAACAAATATGTGGAGTAAAAATGGTCTATACTAACTTATACTTCGTGCCAAAGAAATGCATTTGCTTTTCCTAGATGGCTTGATCTTATGTTTATATAATGTTAGAAGATTCAAATCACTGAACCATCTTTTCTATAATTATCCGTGACAAATTATGTAACCTTAAGGAAGAGAAGACATAAATAACCTTGAAACTTGTGCAAAAAATGCATGGAGCAGTAGATTAGCGGTGCAATATGATTTTCCCATTCCATGCAAAGGTGATTTTATTAAGGTAAAAGAACATAAGATGGAAAGGTTGGACAACTATGGAAGCAACTTTTCCAAGGACTTGGAAATTTGAATGCAATTTTTCTTTTTCTTGTTGTAAATATAAAAAATTGGGGACCTATGTGCCTCAAACAACCAGAGAGTTTTGACACTGTTATCTGATCTCTGTCCTTGGCTAAGTTTGATTTCTGTGGTAGCATGTTGCAGTAGACTGGAAGGTTGCTATTTCTTGTCACCTTGAAATGGAAGCAAACACATTCTGTCTTATACCAAAAGTAAAGTAGACACCTCATCGATCAATAAAAGTATAAATGACTCAATGTATTGCATGTATGCTAACTCATGCATAAGAAACTTATTTTCTCATGTCTGGACAATTCATGTAATAAGATATTTAATGAAACATGTGAGTGATCCTTTTATTTATCCCTCCCCAAGAGCTCCCCACTTTGCTCCCTTGGGGATTCGAACCCACAACCTTTGTGGTTGGAAGTGGAGGGTGCTTACCACTTGAGCAACCCTCTCTTGTGACATGTGATGATCCTCAAAGAATTAGTTGACTGCTCTATACAGATTATGATGTATTATTTAAACAGTGAAATACTATGTAAAAAATTTAATTCAAATTTGGACAGCTGTAAAATCAGCACAACGCATTGAACTTTTTTGGTAGGCCAGGAGCCATTATGTTGAAATGGTGGTTTTAATTGTTGTATTCTCAGCAGCCATTAAATGCAAATTTGTGTTTCAAGCAGGTTGATTACATTTTACTTGGTTGAAAGTTCTGTAGTTGTCATAAATAGCTTTCTTGACCTGTACCATTAAGCTGAAATCTTAACCAGCTTACCACTAGCATGTGTATTTTCATCCAACACATCCAATTTTGGGCCTAGTTTAATGGTCTATGCATTTAAGTTCTTTTGTTTGATAAGCAGCTGAATATTTATTGTCGAAGTTGCACATTTTTTTGGTTTAAGGGCCTTGAGGCTAACATGTGAAAGTCTTTTTTGTGCAAGGTTGAATTGAATATACCGGATGCACATGATGTTTATAGCTTCCTGCACTTGGTGAGGAGCAGCTCTGCTCAAGAAGTAGAAGGTACCAGTTGTCTTGGTGCGGAAGTTGAAGAACTGGAGGTGGAAGACGAAGATATGGGATTATACTTGTCTCCCGATCGGGACTCTGGTTCAGATAAGCCCACTTTTGAAGATAGAGCTGAATTTGATAATGGTATAGAAAATGAAAACTTAGATGAAGGAAAGCTAAGTGGCTCTGCATGGGAGAAGGCATCATCTGAGAATGTCAAATCTGGTGGTAGCTGGGATATGGCTAAAACCCAAAATGGTGCTGAAAAGGCTGTCAATCAGTCAGATTCCTGGTCTTCTTGGGGCAGAAAGGTTGATGAAGCTGAGAATAATCCTCGTCAATCTGGGAACGGAGAGCAGCTAGAATCATGGTCTGCCTGGGGAGGAAAGGCTAAGGAAGTGGACAGTAATCCTCAGCAATCCGGGAATACAGCGCAGTCAGGGTCATGGTCAGCATGGGGGAAAAAGGTTGATGAAGCTGGGAATAGCCCTCGCCAGTCCGGGAATGAGGAGCAGTCAGGATCTTTGTCTTCCTGGGGGAAAAAAGTGGAAAAAGATGGTGGTTCGTGGGGTAAAAGGGTTGAGGAAACGGAAAATCATAATCACCAATCTGGGAAAGATGAGAAGTCAGGATCTTTGTCCTCATGGGGGAAAAAGGTGGAGAAAGATGGCGATTCTTCTTGGGGGAAGGTGGAAATTGATGGTGGTTCGTCTTGGGGGAAAAAGGTGGAAATTGATGGGGGTTCTTCTTGGGGGAAAAAGGTTGAGGAAGCAGAAAATCATAGCCACCAGTCTGGGAAGGAAGAGAAGTCAGAATCTTTGTCCTCATGGGGGAAAAAGGTGGAAAAAGATGGTGTTTCTTCTTGGGGGAAAAAGGTGGAAAAAGATGGTGGTTCCTGGGGTAAAAAGGTTGAGCAAGCGGAAATTCATAGTCAACAATCTGGGAAGGAAGAGAAGTCAGAATCTTTGTCCTCATGGGGGAAACAGGTTGAAAAAGATGGTGGTTCTTCTTGGGGGAAACAGGTTGAAAAAGGTGGTTCTTGGGGAAAAAAGGTGGAAAAAGATGGTGGTTCTTCTTGGGGAGAAAAGGTTGAAGCTGAGAATACCCCACGACCATCTGGGAAAGGAGAACAGTCAGGATCTTGGTCCTCATGGGGGAAACAGGTGAAAGAAGATGGTGGGGCTTCTTGGGGGGAAAAGGTGGAGAAAGATGGTGGGTCTTCTTGGGGGAAAAAGGTTGATGAACCCGAGGATAAGCCTCACCAGTCTGGGAATGGAGAGCAGCCAGGATCTTGGTCCTCATGGGGTAAAAAGGTGGAAAAAGATGGTGGTTCTTGGGACGGGCCTAAACAGTCAAATTCTGAGTCGTCTTGGGGAAAAACTACTAAAGGTGGTGGATTTGGTTCAGCGGCTGCTGAAGGCAATAGAAGCGTTGACCAGTTAGTTAATGGATGGAGCTCTAATATAAGCGGAGACGAACAGTTAAATGAACCAACTCGTGATGACGCTACAAAAGTTGGTGGTTGGAATTCTTCAACAGTTGGTGGTTGGAATTCTCAGAAGGTTGGTGTTGAAGAGAGTGATAAGCAACCTCAGTGGGGTCAGCGCAGACGTAATACAAGAGGAGATTTTAGGGATAATTCACGAGGTTGGGGCTCTTCTAGTGGTGGAGAGTGGAAGGGCAACCGGCCTGCAAGATCAGCTGATGACTCCAATAGAGGTGGGAATTTTACAGCAACAAGGCAAAGGATGGATATATTCACAGCAGAGGAACAAGACATACTTTCAAATGTTGATCCTATTATGCTGAATATCAGAAGAATAATGCATCAGACAGGGTAAGTTCTATATATCGCTGAATTCACTATATACATTTGTGACAACTGCTACATGATGAAAATGTTAATTCCAGCAGAGAAATTGAGTCTCATTTCCGATTATTTATTTTTTAAAATTTATAACCGTGGTTGGGTAGCTGTTACCACCCACCAGCGCATGTCAAGGATGACTTTATCCACCAAGGCTTCGATAGATGAGAAGAAATCACCTAGTGTTTGCCTCCATTGGGATTTGAACTTGAGACCTCATGGTTCTCGACCCACTTCATTGACCACTGGGTTACACCCTTGGGTGCCGTTCCCTCTTAATTCTTTCTGCAGAAAACTGGCTGCTATTGGATTTACAATTTGTTTGTAGTCTACCATATCAAGTACTCTGCACCTACTGCTCTCAACAAAAAAAAAAACAACAAAAAGGTTCCAAGCACCTATAGACAGGTCACAGATTCAAGAATTTGAACAATTATTTTTTTTCAATCTGCATATGTTTTCCCCATATTATATTTTGTTAGCAGTTTCCTTACTGTTAATGGAAAACAAGGGATCACAACTACCCTTGGTAGGGTCAAGTTATGAGTTCACAGAAAAAGAAAAGGCTGACGGATGTTTTGGATAGAAAGAGAGAAAGGAAAAAGAGTATGGTGTCATTTTGAGTTTGGATTAGTTCTAGTGAGAGGGAGGATTAAGTCGTGGATAAGGTAAAAGTCAATTTCGTTTCCATCCAATAATGCCGAAAAAGGCCAAGCATTACAAATAGAATAGGTACAATATTCAGGATGTCACGAAAAATGACATCCATTATTTGCTCTGCTAGTCAATAATGAAAAGCTTATTCTCTTCCCCTTCCTTTATTCTCAATTCTGCTTAAATGGTCTATTTTCCCCCTTATAACATTTTCTGGTTACATTTTCTTCGCGAAGGTACAATGATGGTGACCCATTATCTGCTGATGACCAGTCATATATCATTGACACTGTTCTCAATTACCATCCGGATAAAGCTGTCAAGATGGGAGCTGGTCTTGATTATATCACGGTAAGTGACTCTTTGCCACTTTTTTAAAACCTACAGTATTTAATGATGCTTTTAAGATATTTTCTTACTCTGGACCATATTCTACTCTAGACAATTAGTACCAAGGTTTTGAGCAACAGTATTTTTTTCTTCTTGACATTGTTCAAAGTGGAGCCTTGGAGCAACGGTCTTACTCTGGACCATATTCTACTCTTGACTGTTATGTTAGGTCACGGGTTTTTGCCGTTGGAATTAGCCACTGATGCTTCCATCAGGGTAGGCTGCCTACATCACACCCCCTTGGGGTGCTTCCCTTACCCTGCGTGAACGCGGGATACTTTGTGCACCGGACTGCTCTTTTACTTGTTAAAGACAGTTCATTAATTTTACAGCAAAATGTGCGGTTAAAGATGTTGGGAAAGGCAAGAAAAGATATACTGAAAGGACTATAGAGTTGATAATTAAATTGCTCCCATTGTAATCAAGCTTGTGTGAGCATCGGGGTATAATGGTGTTTTCTACAGCTTTTTTCAAGTTGTACATTAGTATTGATACCTGTGGCGGTCAGCCCATCATATTCCAATTGATCCTATATTATCTAATTTTAAGAGGTGATAAACATTCGTGATATGATAGTATTATTTTCAGCCAAGTGGATAATGCTAAGTCATTATGTTGCCAATGTTTGCAGAATTTTGCTGCTTTCAGTGCTGGAAGTTGTAACAGTTGGTCTGAAGAGATTGAGAACCTTGTGTTAGTTTTGCAATTAGACTCAAGTTTTTTCTTGGTCGCCATTAGACTTAAGTTTTTTCTTGGTCGCCGTTAGACTTAGCTTTCAGTTGGTCATTACTTACTGCTTGAGGAATTTTTGAAACTCTCCACTTGGTTGTCATTAGACTTGAGGAATTTTTGACCCTCTCCACTTTTCATGATTGGATAACTTCTCCAATGCAGATTAGAGACAACATAGAAGCATATACTTTGCTTCTTTCTTCTACTCCCCAGGTCAAATGCACCTGGGTCCTACTTGCCGAGTGCTCCCCTGCCCTATATATGTCATTTGCTTTTAGGAGAGCAGTTTATTCCATTTTCCGACCAGTTAATTCAATGAAAGGAAATTACAGTGGCAGTGTTTAAATAACATTATCTTCTGCATCTATGCGAACTTTATTTTTATAAGCACCAATACAAATGGCTTTCATTTGTTCCCTTGCGACAACTTGAGAAGGAAGATAATGTCTTTATTTTGGTTTGAATGCGTTCTTGAATAAATGAGGATGGGTGTTAGCTGTTACTCTGCTACATAACTTACATTGTTGAACTACTTGGTTTTCAGGGGCCATGAATTTTGTGTTAATCTTGTTTCTTGCATAATTTTAGTTGTGTTCATATGTTACACGCGTCATATTTACTGTGAGCATTGATGACTTTTAGGTTTCAGTTTAACTGGGCTAAGATTTAACCTGTGTAAACAGGTTAGCAAACATACCGAGTTCCAGGACAGTAGATGCTTCTACGTTGTTTCTACTGATGGTGCTAAGCAAGATTTCTCCACCCGGAAATGTCTGGAGAACTTCATCAGGTCAAAGTATCCTGATAAGGCTGAGACTTTCAATGGCAAGTATTTCAAAAAGCCTCAACCTCGCAGCACTAGAAATGCATCTCCATCTCCATCTCCATCAGTTGGTTGACCTTCTCTTGAGTTCAGATAGTTGTACAGTTAACTTAGTTGCTTTGTGTAATTGATGGTAAGACAATGAGCTAAAGGACACGTGTATGTTGGCAAAGTTGGCAGTTAGAAATCTCTCGTGTATATAGTTTAGTCCCTAACTTATAGAATTTTCAGTAAAGTCCTTTTCAAGGCTGTTTGGTAGCCAAGAGCTGTTAGCCTATTCACCTTTGTAAACCACCAGCACACTAGCGTTGATGAATGATTGAAAGCTTTAGCTTTTTCTGTTTATTTCGTTATTCCATTCCAGTGTCTTCTTCCGCATTTTAGTCTCAATAGTTTTCTTCGTTTCCTTTCGTCTCAATCTTGGCATTTGCTGGAGCTAGTAACGATTCTCGTTACGCCTTGTAGAAAATTGTGCTGGTAAAATGTGAAGACATGCAGATGAAATTTGTATGCTTCTTTCATCTGACTATAGAAGAGGCAAACAACCTGATGTATATCAAAAAGTTAAACTGTGCAGATTTTATTTTGTTTGAAAAAACCCCCAAGTGCAGAAATGTCTTTGAACATATTGTTGTATTGGAGTTATGTCAATGCTAGAGCAGAGACCATCAATGTTTCTAATATATTGACTGTAAAAAAAGAGTTTCCAAATAAATAGCAGACGTCTTTTACAAGAAGTTGCCAGGTAGTATCTGAGTAGTCCTGAAAGTCAGATTGGCTCAAGAAATAAGCGAACAGTCGCTGCGCGAGATCGATGCCAGGTCGCCCTCGTAATAAATGGGCTTAACTATACTACAACAGCTTATTTGTTAAAACAATTTTCGCTAATATGATACTACTAATAGGTGGATGTTATAAATATATTATATTATGGATGTTGTAAATAAGCTTCCTGAAGAAATGTATCCATATGAGACTCCGCCGTATATATGTTTATCTATTTAGTACTCTATTGGAAATAAGCCTCCTGAAGAAGCTTATCATTTTGGTACTCCGTTATGGATAAACATAACCCCGATAGAAGATTATCTATATCTGATACAGTAGCAACTTACAAGCAGCTTACACAGCAGCTTGCAGTAGCAGCTTACACAACAGCTAGTGAGGATTTTGAACCCCGATCTGTCGAAGAATGTCGACAAAGATTTGATTGGCCAAAATGGCAAGGGGAAATTCAATCAGAATTGAACGCACTTGCTAAAAGAGAGGTCTTTGGACCAGTAGTCCAAACACCTGCTGGTATAAAATCAGTTGGTCATAAATGAGTTTTTGTGCGAAAAAGGAAGGACAAAAATGAAGTTGAAAGGTACAAGGCTCGCCTTGTCGCACAAGGATTCTCACAATGACCTGGAGTCGATTATGAAGAAACATATTCACCCGTTATGGATGCCATAACATTTCGATATCTCATCAGTTTAGCCTTACGTGAAAGGCTTGAAATACATATGATGGATGTGGTTACAGTTTATCTGTATGGGCCACTTGATAATAAGATTTACATGAAAATCTCTGAAGGATTTAAAATGCCTGAAACATATTCAAAATCTCGGAAAATGTACTCAATCAGATTACAAAGATCTTTGTACGTTTTAAAGCAATCTGGGCGCATGTGGTATAATCGCCTCAGTGAATATTTGCTGAAAGAAGGTTACATAAATGATGTTATTTGTCCATGTATTTTTTATAAAGAAAATGGCATCCGAATTTATTATACTTGTTGTTTATGTTGATGACATAAATCTTGTTGGAACTTCAGAAGAGCTCCAAAAGGCAATTGAATATATTAAGAAAGAATTTGAGATGTAAGATCTTGGAAAGACAAAAATTTATCTTGGTCTGCAAATTGAACATTTAGCAGAAGGGATCTTTATCCATCAATCTGCCTATACAGAAAGGGTCTTAAAACGCTTTTACATGGACTAAGCGCACCCATTGAGTACACCAATGGTTGTTATCACTTGAAGTGAATAAGGACCCGTTCACCTCCAGAAGAGGAAGAGGAACTCCTTGGTCATGAAACACCATATCTAAGTGCAATTGGTGCACTTATGTATCTTGCTAATACTATAAGACCTGGCATAACATTTTCTGTTAATTTACTAGCAAGATATAACTCTTCTCCTAGAATGGGATTAAGCATATTTTGCGATATTTAAAGGGAACTCTTGATATGAGTTTGTTTTATGCTAACAAAGGTAGTGCAGATCTTATTAGTTATGCAGATGCAGGTTATTTATCTGATCTCCATAAAGCTCGATCTCAAACAGGATACGTATTTACATGTGGAGGTACTGTCATATCATGGCGCTCCACAAAGCAATCTATTGTTGCTACTTCTTCAAATCATGCTGAGATAATAGCTATTCATGAAGCAAGTAGGGAGTGCGTATGTTTGAGATCAGTGATTCATTTTATTCACNATATACATCTTATATACTATATATAAGATGTATATATAGTATAGTATATATATATTAAATGTATAATATATATATATCGATATAAGATGNGATAGATTGATGATTTTGTAAGAAAAAATGAAAGAATGATGAGGTATTTATAGTTGAAAATAGGTCAAAAGTGTAATTATAAAAATTTTGGGATTAAAACAAAGTNTATAGTATATATATTAAATGTATAAAAAGTTTGGGATTAAAACAAAGTTGGGGGGGTTAAATGGTTATTTTATAAATAGCCAACGGCTATTTTTGACAGCCCAACGGCTATATTTAAAAAAAAATATCCGTTGGGACCGTTTGGCCCGCTAAGGGACCGGTCCGGTCCCGGTCCCTGGCGGGCTAAATGGTCCCGGGCCTGGCGGGCCCAAATCATAGGACCGACCCACGAGACCGGCCGAAGCCCACTAAAACCGGGCCAAACGGTCCTGGCCTATTTAGCCCGTTTGGCCCGCGGTCTAGGGCCGGTCCCGGGTCTGGACCGGCCCACTTGCCACCCTTATCCAAGGGGGAGTGTTATAAATATATTATATTATGGATATTCATTTACTCCATTGTAAATAAGCTTCCTGAAGAAGTTTATCCATATGAGACTCCGCCGTAAATATGTTTATCTATTTAGTACTCTGTTGGAAATAAACCTCCTGAAGAAACTTATCATTTTGGTACTCCGTTATGGATAAACATAACCCCCGATAGAAGATTATCTATATCTGGTACTGTAGCAGCTTACAAGCAGCTTACACAACAGCTTGCAATAGCAGCTTACAAGCAGCTTGGAGTAGCAGCTTACAAGCAGCTTACACAACAGCTTGCAATAGCAGCTTACAAGCAGCTTGGAGTAGCAGCTTACAAGCAGCTTACACAACAGCTTGCAATAGCAGCTTACAAGCAGCTTGGAGTAGCAGCTTACAAGCAGCTTACACAACAGCTTGCAATAGCAGCTTACAAGCAGCTTGGAGTAGCAGCTTACAAGCAGCTTACACAACAGCTTGCAATAGCAGCTTACAAGCAGCTTGGAGTAGCAGCTTACAAGCAGCTTACACAGCAGCTTGCAATAGCAGCTTATGCAGCAGCTTCCTTTCTTCTATAAATAAAGGAGTTTTCAGTCCATTATGTACATAAGTTTGAAATTTGAATAATATATCAGTTTCTCTCTATACATGTCTTTACTTTACTGTTTTTATTTTATAACAGTGGAGTAATTTTTGCAAATACTCCAATATTTAGTGGCTTGTTGACTTGCATTTGAGTTTGTACGGCACACTTAACATTATGAAGTTGTGTGATCCTATTAGATATTACGGAAATATTTTTTACTATTCATACACCAAAATAATATGGGACATGTGAATTTTACATATAGTTTATCACTTTTTCATTGTTAATTACTCATATGTTTTTTTACTTTAATTTATCACTTAATTCAATAAACTAATATAATTTGATACATACATCACTTAGTTCTGAATGCTAGTGAGTTTTTCTATGATATCAGAATAATTAATGTTACAAATCCAATTAAGACTAAACAAAAGAACAAATGATGAGGCAGTATGCATAAGGACTATTTAGAAGAAAAAAAAACACCACTCTGCAAAAAAGTGATTGTATATACAATAAATATGTTCAACGGGAAAAGCATACAACAATGAAATATAATTTGGGAAGTTAGTGTGTACGCATACAGACGTTACCAACAGTATAATCCCGTTTCAGGGTGTTTACCTTGTCCAACGGGAAAAGCATAATAGCAGATATTTCTCCTACCTGGATATCATATTTTCCCGCAATATCCAGAGAGAAGAAACTGTGCGTAACAGAGAGAAGGTGAGGGAGCTATGATTGGTTTGGGCGCTTGTCCATGGCTTTGTGGAGCCTATCCCTATCCTTCTGGATTCTTCAAATTCCCATCTTCCAACACTACCACCTGCTCCTCTGTTCCTGCCTTTATCATACATTGCAGTAATTCCCAATTTACACCTCAAGGCCCGGGCCCCTCGCAAACTGACCTCAAATTTGTTCTTCACGATGCTCTCGACGCGTTTGGTGTCAATACAACCCATGCCCGTATAGCTAGAGAAGGTTTCTGCTCTCAAATTCGAAAACTATCGGATATAGAGAGAGGAACGAGTATTTGCATAAACAGAGGGGTTGATTTAGGGCAAGCCGCTCTTCATATAGCGGCGGAACATGATTCCCTTATTTCACACTCTTCTGTTCCACTCCCTGTCGCTGATTTCCTTGAGAGATTAGATCATCTTTCTATGGAGTACTGCTCGCGTTATAGCTCTTCCTTTAAATCTTCTCCAGAACACTTCATTCACTGTTTAGAAACGTACTTGTACGTTAATAAGGTAATTTTAGAGTATTTGATTTTATCATGTTTCTTCTTTGCTATATCTGTTTGGAAATGGATGCTTACTCGTTGATCATTTATAAACTGCTTGAATGCCTCGCATTGTATTTTGGATACGAAGAAAGAAGCTTGCATACTCCATGAACTTTTAAAAGGTTGGAACTTAAAGCGTTTTTTTTTTTTTTTTTTTTTTTTTTTTTAAACTTAAAGCGTTAATAAGTTAATTTAGGGGATTTTAAGAACAGGAGAATGAGATGTGTTATTGCATCATTGAATGTACCGTTCAAGTGGGAGATTAACAGATATTTTTCAGCCTAAGGAGCATTCTTACCCATAAAAAAAAATAGTATTCTATTCGTAGGATGTATCGCTGTTAGATTCCTGACTGATGTGTGGTTCTCATTGTTGGCTGAATGGCGTGGCAGTTGACAGCTTTTTTCCAGTTGCGTGGAAAGTTTCTAATTCAAAATTGTGCGCCCTATTGCCATGAATGGCCATAATTATTGAGTTATGCTAAACTTGTTTTTTACAACAGTGATTTGAGAGCCGATACGTTGCTTGGATGTTTCTTTAAAAGAGGTGAGGGAGTAAGAAGTTAGTTGGAGTTCCAAGCAATTTTCAATTTAAATTGCTATTAGTTGTGATCTTTGGCCTTGAGGCTTAGCTGGTTGAATTCGATACTTCTGTTCCCCTTTCACCCTTTCCCATTATTACATAAAGCTGGAAAGGTGGACCATTTGTGAAATATTTCAAAAAGATGGCTCTCCTAGAGAATTACCTTCTCTGCCTACCCTTTGCTTTCCGTCAGTGGGAAAGGGAACATACCCCATTACTAGAAGACATGCATAGTGAAATAAATACAGCTTGGCAGAGGGAAAGAATGGAATTATCATGAAGAATTAGAAAATTTTGAATTTTTTTCTTCTAACTTGAAAAAGGGCATGCAGTTGAATCCTATAGGGATCAGATACACAACCTGTTCCACCATACAACTAAATACAACTGCAAAATGGTTGCACGCTGAAGAAGTTCTATTTTCATGACTGAGGCTGACAGGTATTATTGGATCTGATTGCAGCACAATATTTCATGAGGGGAACATGAATTTGATGGCATATTTAATTGTGTTAATGCGAAACTCCGTTCGTATTCAACTATAAATTGTATCTGCTTGTATGTTTTTCCTTAATTTGTGAGTAGAAGGTACTATTTGGTTGTTTTAAGTTTATGGCTGGTCTTATTTCCTTCAATGATCGACATTATCTTCAAAAATCCTGACCTGGTTCAATTCACAGGGTTTCCGAAGGACTGGTGATAGGAATCAATCAGAGCCACGCGCTCTTTATCTTCACTCAGTGTGTCCCTTTCTCTCTTCTGTTTTCCATGGCTACTAACTATAGCCTTCATGTTAAACCAACATTTTTGCTTAACTTCAGGTTTTAACACATCGCTTCGGTTCTGCTTCACTACTTTCACTTATATACTCAGAGATATTGAAGATGCTTCGCCTGTGCGGTCTTTTAAGTTTTGATATTGAGGTTTTCTTCCCTCATGATTCTTATAGCTCTCCTCGAGGCTACTGCAAACAAAAAATGAAAGAGTCTGATCAATCACATGTCATGACTACTCAGTCGTTGCTAGTGGAGGTAAATTTTCCTGCGAGAGTGATCGAATCTATTTCCTTCTGATTTTCTTTCATTGACTTATCATATATTAAATGTGTGTTCTAATGTATTCTTTCGATAAGTGTTCTGCATTCCATTCTTATTAGGTTCTTGGAAAGTATTTTGATCAAGTAGGTTCTTGGAAAGTTATGGAGAAATATCTAGGAATGCTCCCTGAAATTATAGAGGACCATAAATAGTTCATTGTCTAAGAATGCTCCCTAACAACTTCTAAGAGACCAGAACATTTGGAGTCTTCAAGATTCTCCTTCCCGTTTTAGAAATGCTGCCTCTTTACTCTTTGTTCAATTCAAGTTGTCATCCCTGATACTGTCTTTTGGTAATGTCTTTTAAGCGAAAGTCAGGTTCATTTCAAGTCCCAATAATTTTGTAACCTTTTATATGAGAGAGGAGAGAAGTTACAAAGCTGTTTTTGGCTTTCTAATTTACTTCAGTCAACGTTTCTTAAGAGATGGCTAATTGTTCCATATATAAATTCTACAACTTTACTATTTAGTTATTTGACCAGAGTGTGTAACTGATTGAAAGAGGTAAATATCACTTTCACTGTATCATACCCTTATTAGCTGGGTGTTTTTTGGTTGCTTGGCTTTTATGCCGTTGGCACCTTTTGTGCCAAGGCTGGGGCCCATTTGGGACTGCACTGATCTAATTTACTTATGAAAGAGGTATACTGTAACTGCTCTGATTTGTTCTATTTCCAGAATCTGAGAGGATATTCTGAAGGTAGAGGTAAGGTCTGCGTTAACACTACCCTCCCCAGACCCCACTTGTGGGATTTCACTGGGTTTGTTGTTGTTGTTGTTGTTGAGAAGATATTCTGAAGAGAAACCTGCTAAAGCTAATTTCGAACGATACAACTAATCTTCATTATTACATGCCTTCATTACATTTACATTTTCTTGCTGTCATATCTTGAAAAGCTCTCCATCTGACTGTCAATTGAATTAACTAAAAGTCTGATGTGCTTTTTTGCTTAATTCTACTTATAGTTGCTCCATGTCTGTATATAGATGCTGAAAGATTTGAAGGATGCTTTCTGGCCATTTCAGCTTGATCATACTAAGAGTCCTTTCCTGAGAGCAGCACGAGCTGCCAACTGTTCTGAAAGTGCCAATGATTCTGAAGAAAGGTCTTTCAGCAGTTGAGCAATCCATAAATTCCCTTTCACAAGATAAGACTACACTTGTTTACCCATCCTTATTATATTATTTGCATGCAGTGCATTCGAGCTTGCATCTGTCAAGGCTGCTCTGCATAGGCTACAGCGTGGTGTTTGGACCAGTGTTCGATTTGGGGACATGAGACGTGCACTCTCTGGTATGTGCATTCAACTTTTTCCCTCTTTAAAAAGTATTGTTATACTTTTAAGAATTGTCATTGGTTCCATTAAGGCTTAATCATTATATATTTCAATTTTGATACGTAATAATTATACATTTCATGACATTCCAATAAACCTGGATGTTCATTTTATGTCTGAAAAGTTCAATAGCAGTGATTGTTTGGATAGAAATGAAGGGTTAAAATTTTGTAAGAACATGTTTCTTGGTAAATAAGGCAGCTTAGGATGCTCTGTAAAAAGTTACCGATGGAATATCAGTTTTTTGTTATAATATTGGTTTCTAGTTGATGAGATATAATAGGATACAGTAGTTAGGAGTAGGTTCAAATTTACTTAATGTGCCATATTTGGCTGCACAATTTCAAGAGAAGGGTAGGTTTATCTTGATTACACCTTTTTTTCCTTTTTTCTTCTTATCTTGATTACATCTTAAAATAGAGTCTATTGTTTGGAGACTAGGTTGCACCTGAAGCAAGATTTGATTCTGTTTAATGAGTGATGTTCCTGGGGCAACTTCGGTTAATTAGTATTTAAATCTCACCTGACTTAGAAGATCAATCACTGGGTTCCTTATAATAAAAAATAAAAAAAAAGAATCAATGACTAGGTTAGATAAACACTTCAGAGGGTTTTGACAAGTAAAAAAAATACAGATGAACTTTCATCAGCGGAACTTCCCCAGCATGAAGAGACCCACACTTCTATTTGCTTGTTTCTTCTAAAAGGTGTTGGAGGGTACAAAGGCGTCGTTTCTTAGAAACCATTATGTTCTAAAAATAGGCTTGAAGACAGTTATTTCTGACTCAACTTGTATATTTCATAGGTTGTTCAAAAATAATATAAAGAGTCGGGGACGTTTGGATTCCTCCGTGCAGTGATATAAAATGCTTCCCAGGCTATGTCAATTCAGTTTGAAGTTTATGTGCTTTTCTTCTGATATGATTCCCAGAGGATTTTTATTACTAAGTTGACTTGCTGTTATAGCCTTACAATGTCTGGTCTATCTTTGCCTGTTATGATCATTATTCTCTTGGCAGCATGTGAACATCTTATCCTCTTGCAAATTGATCGTAAGGAATTGAGGGATTATGGTGTTCTGCTCTACCATTGTGGATTTTATAAGGAAGCACTCCAGTACCTTACATTATACCAGGATAGGAAGGTAGTTTTCCTCTGCTTAGTGACTCTTGATTTGGTTTCGTTTCATTTCTACCATTGACTAACTTTGCAGAATTGCATTATACAGAAGGACTTGTTTGGTTTGATTGATAATGTGGAGGAAGAAGAAGCTTTGGAGAAATTAATTATTCGCCTTAACCTCATCTTGATGGAGGAAGGTTGGTCTCCCCCCTCAGATAACAGAAATTTCCTGAGCAACAACTCTGAGCCCTGGTAATGCTTGTAACATCTTGTTCAATAAGCAGGTTCAGGTGTACTTGAAGTATGGACAAGTCAAACTTGTGGAATCTGTCCCTCCAAAGGATCTAAAGATAGAACCGATCCTCTGTAGATAACTGTACACCAGGAACTAACGTATCTAAGAATAGGTTAAATGTAACACAAATTCATAGTCGTGTATAGGAGAATGCTAATGTCCCTTAACCCATAACAATACGCTTAACAATTCCAATTAACCAATGAAATAATACAATGCTTCGTGGAATAATACGTTTGTGGTGACAAATACCATTAGAAACTCTTCTTGCTAATAAGCTTCTCTAGTAGGCTCTTCTTGTTAATGATTCTGACTTACTGAGAATAAATAGGGTATACCAGAATCCTTATCTGTTATCAATTATTTTTTTAAGTCTAGCTTCACTAATATAAGTATTTTTAATTCGTTAATACTGAGTAATTGTTTTGCTTATGATGATCTTTGTTATGATGCTGTTTCATAAACTTGCTTTTCCATCGAGTGGCTTAGATATTCTCCTACTGAGAAGGAAAAAAGGAACTCAAATAGCCTTCTAGTCGCAGCTTATTCTTTGCTAAATGCAATACTTTGGTAAATTGTTTTCAAATTCAATTAAGAGAATCGTGCAAAGTTTTGTGCATTTTGTCGTTAAATTTGTGATGGCATATTAGAAGGAATGGAGGAATTAGCAGTTAATCTACCCGTTCAAACATTACATATGGGCGAGGCAATCAATGGTACTTTTACAAATATTTGTTTGTATAAGTGAACCAAACACCATTGCAGAAAAAGATTTCAGCTTTTGTAAAATCAATAAACAACTCTAAAGTTGTATAAGTATTTAGTTGAAAAAAGTTCTCAAATTTTAAAAAAGAAAAAAATTCGGAAAAGGTTTTCGATTTGTTTTTCAAACAAACACCAGAGACAACCAAGGCTCTAAATCCCCTTTTCCTCTCTTGGATCTCCAATTCTCCATTCTCCTCGACAGCATTTAGATGTTAAATAGTTTCTGTGTGAAAGCCTTCCTCTACTTCATGACTAGCAAAACTTGTACTCCTGTTTTGAATTTTGAATTTTGAATTTTTGTCTTCGCAAGATTTAGTCAACTTTTTTTCTTTAAGAAAAAGAACTTTTGCAAACATATCACATAGTAGCAAAGTTTTGTTATAAATCTGTATTGTTGTAATAAACAATTAAACCATTATACTTTCTGAAATATATAAACAAAACAGAAAGTTAGTAACACTTGTTTAACGAAATAAATTCTGGAAAAACAGTATAGCAATAAATCGAGCCCACTGAATACACAGTGTGTCCTTAAGGAAATTATTCCTCTCAAGTACCCGAGGTGCTGGAATATATCCTCACAGGATAGAACGATTTAACTCACCGGAGTGTTGGTACCAAAAACGCCGGTGAACAGCGAGCCACTCGAATGCTGTAAAAACACACTGGAATTTTTGTGCACAAGAAGAAGAAGAAGATCAGAAAATTTCGTAAGGAAAGATTCTGGGATTCAAAGTATATTTATAGAGTTGTTGGCATTATTTTTGAAAAGGTTTGCAACCTTTCAGAAACAGCCATGGTTGTTGGAACAGGTTGTGTGAAACATTGCGGGAAAATGGATTTAAAATAATACGGGAAAGAAAACGGGACAGACCGGACCGGGTCGTGGGTTATTCCGGATTGAATATTTAGTCAATTATTTAATTAATTAATTAAATAATTGAAGAATTTTTTTTCAAAAAGATTAATCAATCAATCGTTGACCAAATCCAAATCCGAAGCCGAAGCCGAAGCCGAAGCCGAAGCCGAGCGAGCGACGACGACGGCGCGAGGCTTGCCTTCTTCTTAACTCTTTAAGAGCTAGAAGAAGAGCAATTATATATATACCCATCAAAAGCCTTTTCTTCCTCCAATATGGGACAATGTCCCTTTGCCAAAGAGGGAAACTCAAATATTTTATTTTTCCTCCATTTTTCATTCACCCTCTTTAAGCTACACAAGCTTAAAATCCCAACAATCCCCCGCATGAATGGGGAATGACTATAAAATAAAAGGAATGCACGGACGCGTGTGTGTTTTACATGCAAGAATTAGTTGCATCTGGATAAGTAGGTTTCCCTTTGAACTTTCCGTAGTGAACTTATATCGGATATACTCGGTCAATTGATAGATTTGATATCTTTGAACCGTCGAGCTTTGTTGTATACCTAGACAACATAAGTCACACAATCAATCCTTAACCATCTATGGTTCTCACGGTTGTGTTCGTTTCAGCCATGAACACC